ACACTGGAGTGTGTCTTTTGTTATTTTNCACACACACACTGCAGTGTGTGTCTTGTAATCTTTTGCTGACAGTATTTTATAATCTGATGTTGGAAAAATAATTTGGTTAATCTGAAGATCGACGTCTTGCTTTAACAAGCAAACTGCTGCTGTCAGGGAGATGCTCTGTTACCATGACAACGGTCACACGCCGTCTTCAGGTGTCCCCTCACCTCCAGGAGGAGAGCTGAGGGACATGCATCCATCCACTGAATTAAATAAATGAAAAATAAAAACAGTTGTGTTGTGGTGGGCATGGCCTCTGAGGATTTCTGGCCTTTTGATTGGTTATTTGATTATAAAAATAGCTGCAGATTAATAACTGAATTGATTATTGTTTCCCATTGTTACAGATAAAATCTGAGAAACAAAACAAAAGTTTCATTCATATTGACCCTTTTCATCTGCAATCTTATCTGCACACCAGAACTGAATCAATAATCGATAATCAACATGATAGATTTCCACTAACAGTTGGTAAAGGACTGTGTGGTTTTCCTGCGGTCTCTCCTCTCACATTTATTCTTCTTTGGGAAAGAGGATTTTCACTCGTGTTGAAAATGGGAGAACTCTCATTATTGTGTGTCCATGTTTGTGAATGTGACCTGGTATTAAACTGTCCTGTGGTGAGTTCAGGGACCAGGGGAGATTTGGATCTCAGTGACAGAGCTCAGTGCTGACACCAGCCCCCCTCTGTGTGCTCTCACAAACACAAATCCTCCTCCACAGCTTCTATCTCATCTCTCATGTTAAACAAAAGGAGTCTTAATCCGGCCTCCTTTAATCCCCGTTGGGTTTGCAGACGCTGCGTCTGAAGGCGGCACATTAATCCCAGAGGCCACCGGGGCCGATCGCAGCGTCTCAGCCCTCCGGGGTTCCTTTCTCCAGCGGCTTTAATCCAACGCGGACCGACCACAAACACTGAGGAAGTCCTTCTTTCTGAAGCTGAAAAATGGAACTTTCCTCCTTCTGTCGCGGCAGATAATTCGCCACTCTGATGTGGATTTGTGGGGAGATTAAAGCCAACAAAGATTTATGCATTTTTTAAATTACTGAAATACAAACATGAAGCATGAAACTGCAGGCGGGAGGTGTGCGTGGAGAATGAGAACTGTAATAAGAAAAGCAGAGAGTAAATTCAGGAAGAGATTAGCGGCATGTTTTATTCATTTTTTTGCTGCAGCAACATAAATAACGTGACATGGAGAATGTGTAGAGGAAGAGGTCAGTGACTGCAGAGCGGCTGTGGACAACATGTCTCATCACCTCATAGTGTCACATAAGAATTCCCATTTTAACACTGCAGAAGAAGAAGACAAGGATCAGCAGAAGATATCCTCAGCTGCTGCTGCAGCTAAAACACTACAGAAGAAGAACTTGACCTCAAACCATTTCTTACAGAAAACACTGAATCAAATATTTGCTCAGATGCATGATCGGAGTGATTCTGAATGTAACACACTGCAACACACTGCAACACACTGCAACACACTGCAACACACTGCAACACACTGCAACACACTGTAACACACTGCAACAAACTGTAACACACTTTAACGCACTGTAACACACTACAACACATTGTAACACACTGTAACATACACTGCGATACACACGTACAGGTTCAGCACACTGCTGAGAATGGTAACACTATTAAAAGGTTACTATGTGTTACACACACACACACACACACACATACACACACGCTTACACACAGACACACACATACACACACACACACAGACACGCACACACACACACACGCACACACACACACATACAGACACACACAGACACACACACACACACACACACACTCACACACACAGTTTTATGAGTTCACTTTGTTTACAGACTATCTCAACAGGAGTCAAATATTAAAACTACAGGAAACAGTAACAGAGTTTATGACGCTGTGGTAAAGGTTCAGTTTACTAACATCATGGTTTGAGTTAAAAGAAGTACTGTGTTAAGGTTAGAAGACCTCTGTCGTCATGGTGACAGTAATAACCAGGTGGTTAACACTACAACAGCCTTCACCTAAAGGACTGAGTCTGATGTCCGAGGGAAACTGATGTTTCTCTAAGACCTGGACTAGTTTCTCAGGCCGGAGTCGACTGAAGACCTAAACCGACGGCAGCTGACCGACAAACAGGATGAGGTTTGTTCTGTAGAGAGAGGAAGGAAGGAAGGAAAGGAAGGAGGGAAAGGAAGGAAGGAAGGAAGTCTCTGAGGTTTGAGGAGAGATAATTAACTCACAGAGGACTCGACACACACACACCTGAATTCACAGTGTGTGTTTAATCTGTGAGCTTCATTAAAACCCTGACGAGACAGAACAAAGAGCTGACTGCACCTGAACACACACACACACACACACACACACACACACACACACACACACACACACACACACACACACACACACACACACACACACAAACACACACTCCCTGATGACCTGGTGTGTCCAGGTTCAGGACTGTCGCTGATTCAGGACTTTATCTTTTCCTCTTGAGTGTGTGTGTGTGTGTGTATGTGTTGCTGAGTTAACAGTAGAGCTCTAATTACAGACTTCCTCTCTGTCTCTGCTGCTCTTTAAAGGACTATTCTACCAAAAAACAGAAACACTTTCATCATCTTTAAATCTTTCACATTCTCTCTGTGATGTCTGACCTGTGAAGCTGGGGGGTTCATCAGATGCATCATGGGAAAGGTTAACGAGTTTGCTTTTTGAAATGAAACCTCTTCAAGCTTGAGGTGACGGGTTGCTTCACAGAGATCGTCCTCTTTGTTCCCCTCACTCTTCTCCTGTCAAAACTTGGAGCCTACATTACCCACAATGCACCTCTCTCTGGCGGCTGGGTGGTAGATTCTGTAAAAACAACAGTACACTAGCTGGTGATCACAGTGGAGCAGCTCACTGAGTCTTTATCTCCTGGTAACCTTCGTTTCAAAAGTCCTAAAAGTAATTTTAAGGTGTGAACCATCTAAAAATCCTAGTTCAATTCAGGTGTGATCCAGGTTTAATCCAGGTTTGATTCAGGTTTATTTGGGTTCCTAAATGTTTTCAGCTGCAAGCTGACGAGACTTCAAACAGTTCCACCTTCATCAACCAGAAAACTAAAAGCACTGAGCCAACTGACCAACAACCAGCTGAACGTTGCCCCTGACGACCAAGCACGCTCATTAGCCTCACTCCATCACCACCGTTATTAGGGTGCGGCGACCATCTTGGTCTCAGACCGCTGAGAGTTTAATTTCATTCTCTGCTGCTTCTCACACACACACACACACACACACACACACACACACACACACACACACACACACACACACACACACACACAATGCGCCCCCACTGCCGTCCATATGTGCAGCAGAGGGTCGAAGAGAAGGAGAAATCGAACACACCCTCAGGCCTCAGTCTCTTTTCAAAGTTAAAGAAAATCCTGATCCAGACTCTTTATCCTGTATTACTTCACATGTAGTCAGACAGAATCAGCTGTGATCAGCTGTGATCACTTCCTGTCTGCAGTGTATCATCACGTTTTACTGTGAAACTGAAGGAAACTTAAAAAATGGAGGATTCTCTATGAAGTTCTACAGACTCTGTTTCTCTGGAGCTTTATTCTGGAGGGACATCAGAGATGATGAGAACCAACCTTTACTTCTTCACATCAATATCCTCAGAGTGAGGTGTTCCTAATAAAGTGATCACTGGGAGAGAGAGAGAGAGAGAGAGAGGTTTGATCCCCGCTGCCCCCATCAGGTGAACAGAGGAACAACAGCTGAAAGGAAACACGCTCACACAAACTAGCACTGCTCTGCAGAACAAGTACACACACACACACACACACACACACACACACACACACACACACACACAAAACCTCAGCTTTACAACAATGGGCCCGACAGTCTGATGAACCTCTGGAGGGGACGTCGTCACTGACAGTAAACTGAGTGGTCTGCAGCACAAAGCTGTTAGAATATAATCAATAATGATCAATAATGTTTGATTTGTAGTTTAAATCTAAGAGAGTTCAGTCACACAAACTGATCTACAAGATGAAATATGAGTGGAATCACTATTTTAATGACTGTGTTTCCTCATTTTTACCTTTGTGTCTGTACGTCCTCCACTCTATTCTACTGTTTTTTTTAATTCTACTCTGGCTACATAAAAACTACAGGTACAGGAAATATGATCAATTATAAAAATTCAACATCACTAAAAACAGTCAGAATTCTACGAGCTGCTCGACTCCAACATCTGCAGCTGCTGCAAAGCCACTGATCCCACAGGCAGCCTATCAGCATGATCAATATTAATATTTGACTTTTACTTCAGTATAAAAACTGTTAGAATTCTAACAGAGTTCAATGCATTTCATCTGTGTTGCTTTGTTTTCACTCTGCTGTGGAAGCTGCAGCTTCACCAGTATATAACCAGTCAGACCAGTATAACCAGTATACCCATGTATAACCAGTCTGATCAGTCTGACTAGTGTAACCAGTATAACGAGTCTGACTAGTATAACCAGTCCGACCAGTATAACCAGTCTGACCAGTATAACCGGTCTGACTAGTATAACCAGTATAATCAGTCTCGTCTTTGCCTCAGTTTCTTCATTAGTTATTTGCTTCACATTTTGACGCAGTTTCTGATTTAAAGTAAAAGTTTTTTTGAGTTGAGATCAGCTGGAGAGAGAGAGAGAGAGAAAGAAAGAAAGAAAGAAAGAAAGAAAGAAAGAAAGAAAGAAAGAAAGAACGAAAGAAAGAAGCAGCAGGAGAGGGAGGGAGAAGGAGGGAGGAGATTTTCCAGCTGGAAACTTGGATGCCGACACTGAGTAACTCCCATGTTCACGCCGCTCACCCCCCTCTCCCCCTCCCCGGAGCCCACAGAGACCCGGACCCCGCCAACCGACCAAAACCCGGTCCCCGGTGTGTCGGCTTACCTTTGAAGGTGTCCGCTCGCGCCCCCGTTAGTCCCAGTGAAACCAGTAGGAGAGACGCGGAGAGCAGGAAAGTTCCAGTCCGCTCCATGTTCGCACCGAGACCCTCCGGAGCGGGGGACACACACACACACACACACACACACACTACTGAGAACTCTTCTTCTTCTCTTTCCTCCTCTTCCTCCTCTTCTTCTTCTTTTTCCGTTGTTTCCCACGCCGCTCGGACTCACACGCGGACACGCTCGTTTCGTCTCTCCGCTTCTTTTTCCGCCGTTTCTCCTCAGAACAGAGACCGACTCCGTTTACCGAGCAGCTGCTGACGTCACAGGGGGCGAGAGACTTTAGGAGGAAACAGGAGAGAGAGAGAGGGAGAAAGAGATAGAGAGAGGGAGAGAGAGACCTTTCTATTCTATAAAATGATTTGATTTTTTTTATCTTTATTTTGATTCTTTATTTTTATTATTGTATCATCTTATGTTTGACTTTTATAAAATTTATATTTCAACGTATTAAAATATGACAGAAAAAATAAATGATACATGAAACCTAAAAAATAAAATGTAAATTAAATAATTAAAAAAAAACAAACATTTTACTCCATATAAGAATGAATCAGATATTTTTAATATATAAACATACACATTTCACTATTTTGAGTATTTCATATGTGTTAAACTTATATGTTCAGAGGATGTTTATATGTGATAATATATTTGACATATTCAACATCACTCTATATACGTATATTACATTTCTGTATTACGTCTCTGCTTCTGGTACCTTTGATTTTTATATTTAATTTGTATATCATTTCATGTTTTTCATATAATGTTCATTATAATTTAATGTTTAATATTTTATTTTTTCATTTACAACAATTTCAATCATTTTTGTTTTTTTGTAAATTGTGTCTGTACAATATCTTCTGTATATATTTTATTTCAAACTAACAAGGCACAAATGTAGTTATTTTTATTTGTTCTTTATATTGCTTTTTTTATTTTCCATATATTTTTAATGTCACATTATTTCCATCACTATAGTTGTATTTTCTCTTTTAATTCAGTAATTTATTTAATTTTCATTAATGACATTGTATTTATTTATTTCATTAATGTGACCACTAAAATATCATGCATTTTATTTCCTGATAATTGAAAATGCTGAGCTTCTCTTCACTCATGTCTTCACTGTAATCTCAGTGCTGCCCACTGCTGGTCGCTCAGCTCTCTAGAGGAACACACATCTGTGTGTCAGTGGAAAGAATCCTGGTCAGTGAACTCACCAGAGATTTTCAAAATCAAACTACTTCCTGTGAGCTGCAGCAGAAGAGTCACAATGTTCACACCAGGTCAGAAGGAACAGTTTTATTTCATGTTATCAT